GTTTTCACGTAAAAACTATGATGTCTCTTATGAACACAACACTTTCTCTCTTTCTTGTCAGATTGTGTGCTGGATCTTCGTACAACGTTAAGACGTTAAACTTTATATTTCTCTACCGCCGTGAATACTCCAAGACACAACAAGAGTTTTTTTTTTTTCTTTTATAATAATATGATTAATATAAATCCTAATATAAGCAAAATTTAAAAAAAAATAATCTATCCATCAACTCACGAGTTCTCATCGTTCGTGCTATAGATTTTGCATTGTCTCCTCATGATTTAATAAACTTTCAGAATTGGTCACATACGACAATCCAAATTAATAATATGGGTATCTATCTTAGGACGAAATTGGAGAACTCTGAACTCGCCTCTCCGAGCAAATTCAATGAATGAAATCAGAAATTTTACTTCTGACAAAATTGGAAAAGATATGGTCGAGTCGAGTTCTGCCTCTGAATGAGAATTGATGTAATAATGAGAATCCTATAAGAACAACAATTCCATAATGTTAGAGTGAGATAGGTACATAATGAACACATTCACAGGTAGAGTTTATCACATTGATGTTTCATTGCATTAGATGTTATGATCCACAAGCATCAACAAGAAACTACTAAGGCTTCGATTGGGATGACTTTCTTACTCGGGGGCGGATCTAGCTTCTTTTTCAGGGTGGGCAAAAATTTGATTAATCAAATAATAATAATAATAATATAAATTCAAAAAAAAAATTCATATTTGAGTTCTTAGATGCTCTATTTTTTTGTAAGAAAACAAATTCATTATAAAGATTGGCCATGTGGAAACAAGTGTTCTTCCTCGGTTGTCTTAGATTGACTATGCTTGTTTTCCTCATTATGCTTGATGTGAGGAAACTTATTTTTGGAGATTAGAGAAGAGTTTTTAACTATATTGCAAAGGTTTTTTTACAAGATTTGTTTGCTAACTTTCTTGCTTCAGAACATTGCTATTTAGAAAAAAATCATTTCTACAGAACTTTACTATTAAAAAAAAACATTTCTGCAAAAATTTGCTATTCAGAAAAAAAAAAAATTGCAACATAACTTTGCTATTCATGAAAAATCATTTCAACAGAAATTTGATATTCAGAAAAAGAAAATCATTGCTACATAATTTTCCTATTCAATACCACTGCGAAGTGTGAAAAGCAGATCATAAAAGAAATAGATCAATCTACTGAACTTTGCTATATCAGATCAAATTTTAGTTAAAAACAAACCGGGTTTCTGCATCTTTTCTGCATGCGTTTTATTTTGACTAAGTAGAAGAGTGTGTTCAGTTTTCAAAATCAGCTTCAACTTCGGAGTTTTTGCATCTTTTCTGCATGCGTTTTATTTTTGATTCTATCTTAAAAAGGCATTATAGCTACGATGCTTCCTGATTTGGCAGCATGGAAGTTCTTCTAAGTGGAGAAACCTCCTTATAAGATTTTTGCTTGCTAGCATCTCCCATACATGTAAGTAGCTAGTCAGTTCTTATTATTTGAATTAACGCAAAACTTAGAATTCTTCACCCCATAATGGGCCAATTTGCATCTGTAAGAATGCTGAAGACATTTAGACAAAAGTAAAAGCAAGAAAGTTTTAGTGTTTTTTTGAGGAAAAACAAGAAAACACTTGTCTGAATGCTTGTGGGAAGCTTGATAGCCATCATTACAATCAACAGATTAGCAATCAGCCGTATTCAACTAAGTTTAGGGTTCAATGAATACTCTATCCAGAGAGGCAAGTCTACCATTCGGATTAACATTGATTTAGTTAATGCTTTCCTAAAACTGGAAACTATACAAAATAAAAGTAAATGAAATTTCAAAACTCATATTCAAGCAAACCAAACAATCTGACTTACAGACGGCAATCTGGTGAAGAAAAGGCATCAGCAAACTCTTCGCCGCCGCGGTTTTTCAGCTCCTCTTCAGAACCAGAAAAATAGAGATCGAAGGAGCCACTGGAAAGCCGATAGCGAAACAAAGGAGGAGATCAGGAACCAGGAGTAGATTCGAGTTCGAAACCCTCGCGACTGCGGTTGCTTGTGTCGCGTGCGTGAAGAGATGGAATGATAACTGGAGTTGGGCAATGGGTTGGATAAGGGCAAAGTATTAATTTTAAGGTGGGCAAAAGTCCAAAATGGCCTCCCCTCTTAGTCATTTCTCCGGTTTTTGGGTAGGCAATTACGCACCCTCAGGCCTACATGGATCCCCGTGTTCTTACTACTTCATAAAGCAGCTTTCTAGTAAAAAAATTATAATTTTTGTAATAGAAAGCAGCTTTAAGAAACAGAAAGAAAGTCATCCCAAACAAAGCCTAAGTATAATCTTTGTTTCTACAAATATGAGCCTCCCACTTGAAGACACTAAGGTTTCGTCTAGGATGGCTTTCTTACTCCTTAAAACAGCTTTCAAGGACAAAAATTTTAATTTTTGTACTAAAAAGCTGCTTTAAAGAATAAGAAAACCGTAAAAAATGAAGCCTAAATTTATTTACGTTGGTTATTAAAATAAAAAAAATACAATTTTTATACTAGAAAACTACTTTTAGCAGTAAGAAAACCATCTAAAATGAAGCCTAAATTTATTTACATTGGTTAATAAAAAAAAAATATAACATTGAGAATTAGTACACCAACGGCCTGTTACATAATATGTAAGTTGTTGACTGCAGCATTGCAACCTCCAACATATAAATTTGTATATCAGTAAAAATATATCAATAAATTTTTTTTGAAAAAATCATAACGGCCAAAAAAAATGCTTTAGAAATTAAAAGCAGACGCTGCACTTGTAACTACGACATTCAAAATATGGAGAATCTCATTCGAGCTAGAGCTTCACTAGTATAAATTAAGCTCTCTTTATTTGTCCATGATAAACCTGGTTTTCAACAACTTCAACAATCTGTATTACATGGCTTATTTTTTATTTTATAAATCCACTCTAAATCCAAAATTAGAATTCTAAAACAAGAAAACTTCTTCAATAACCTTTGAAATTACGAAGCATGGATCCTTGCAACAATGAAAATCATCGTTTTGAAAATCAGATCAGACGGTCTGTTCGGCAGGTTCAATAGTAAACCATTGGCTAACAAGTCTGAATTTTCTCTAAAACCATTTCGTATTGATTCTGTA